ACATCATCTCCTCTCCTCTGTTTTATCCTCACAGCAATCTTGTGAGGTAGCTTGGGATGACGGAGTGTGACTGGCCCAAGGTCACCCAGCGAGCTTCCATGGCACGAGCAGGGATTTGAGCCCAGGTCTCCCAGATACTAGTCTGACACTATTAACCACTACACTATCCTGGCTCTCAAGCAAGGGTCCAAACACCATGAGTTTTAAGCTGTGGCCTCCAGAGTTGATTTACTGAACAACACACACAAATAGTTATAACTAACTTATTTAGCTTGTCTGGGCTACAGTTAGGGTTGCCAAACTCCAGGTGGGGCCTGGAGAGTTCCAGGAATTCCAACTATTCTCCAGACTCCAGAGATCAGTTCCCCTGGAGAAAATGGCTGCCTTGGGGGATGGATTCTATGGCATTACACCATGAAAACCCTCTAGGTATTTCCCAACCAGGAGTTAGGAACCCTAGGTACAGTGCACACAGAGTTGAGAACTGTGATGTAATCACTCCGCAACAGAGCAAGGGACGCCAATGAGCAGAATGCAACTGAATCTGTTGAAAAGTATTAACAAGTGCCTGATTTTGTGTCTTATGGCTGCAGAGGTTAGCACACTCAGCAACACGGGCAAATCTTCAAAATATGTCATTTTTTATGTATGGGGTCGATGAAGTTCTTTCCCCAGAAGCAGCACCCTGACTATTTGCAGGATTCTACCGGAACAAAATCCATCTCTCGCTTAGATTCTGCAAGGGAGCCAATGCATGGACTTGGAACAGGGAGCCTACAGTTCACACCCCATACGCTTAGTCCCCTAGCTCAATGGATGGCTTGTGGTCAGCCCGTATCTCTCAGCCCGACTTACCTAACAAGGAGACTGTGAGAATTAAATGGGGGAGAGAGAAACCATCTATGCCACAGGTTTCAAACTCATTTGTTACAAGGGCCGGATCTGACAAAAATGTCACTTTATCAGGCTGGGCCATGTGTGCCATAAAATGTAATGCCAGGTACCGGAGATATAACCTGTATAAAGGACAGCAGCTGGAAAGCTCCAGATTAGTGTACCCTCACTACAAGGCCTCGTGGACTGGGAGAGGGGTGCAAAGGAAAACCCATATGCATGGACTGGAGAGCCAGCAGTGCAGCACAGGGCAGATGCTCCGGTGCTGCTTGACTGCTGCAGACGAGGTTGTTCCACCATGCTGAAGCCACATTTGGAGTGGTTCTGCCCACTCCCACTCCCCTCCAAACAGTCTCCTGTTCCTTCCCCTGCACTAGTTGCTCGCGGGCTGCAAAACAGCCCTGGATGGGATGGTTCCAGCCCCTAGTTCTTATATTTGACACCCCTGATCTATGCCACCGTAAATTCTGTGGTGGGCCAGCAACAAAATAACATGACCGGCACTGATGTGGGAATCAACAGGACGACACATTTATGTCACTTCTGTACTGCCGGCTCTGTGGATGATAAACTGATCGGGCCCAACTGGCTCACAGCTGCTGCCTCTACCTGAGAACATGGTCTCTGAATGCCACTCCATGCATCCTTGCTGTCGGGGGAAGGAGCAGAGGTACGGAGCTGAAGCATTCAAGACCATCTCAATTTGATCTTGCTGGGTGAGACAAAAGGGAAATTTACAGCTGTGCTGTATCAGGCGGAGGCAAAAATAGAAGTGCTAAGTAACTCCCTCTCTTCCTCTGACAGAGCAAAGCACCTTGCTCTCCTTCGGGTGCACTCTCATTAGCAGCTGAGCGCAGCGTGTTTTAAGCCGATCTCGGAGCTTCATTTCAAAGGCTCCAGTGCGCCATTCGACGGCGGTACGTGTGCAAATGAACCCCAGTACAGGAGCAGGCCCCACAGTTAGTATTACAGCAAGCAGCAGATTAGACTCTGTCGGGAAGGCAGCCCGGTTTAGAAACATGGAAAGATGGGGGGGAAAGAAGAACAGCAAGAGGAAGATGGCATCGGCACTGTGGCTGTTCAACATCGGCATGCCAGCCTCCAGCTAGGACCTGGAGATCCCCCAGAATCACAGCTCGTCTCCAGACTGCAGAGATCAGTTCCCCCGGAGAAAATGAATGATTTGGAGGATAGACTCTACGGCATTGTATTCCACTGAGGCACCTGTCCTCTCCAGGCTCCATCCCCAAATATCCAGGAGTTTCCCAACCTGGATCTGGCAACCCTACAGTCCCTGGTCCCCCGCCAGTGGCCAGGAGGGACAGGCAACCTACTTTAACAAAGAGAAAGCAGAAGAAGAGATTGGATTTCTACCCCGCCCTTCACTACCAGAAGGAGTCTCAGAGCGGCTTACAATCTCCTTTCCCTCTCCCTCCCCACAACACACACACACCCTGTGAGGCAGGCGGGGCTGAGGGAACTCTTTCAAGGACTGCTCGTGAGACAACAGCTCAGAGAGAACTTGTGACTGACCCAAGGTCACGCCAGTAGCTGCACGTGGAGGAGCGGGGAATCGAACCCGGTTCTCCCAGATTAGAGTCTGCGCTCCTAACCACTACACCAAACTGGCTCCCAGGGTGGCTCTAGAATGCCAGAGGTAACTCCGCTTCATTACGTTCTCCTTCAGCACAAGCCCCAGGAGGTCTCAATCACTGCTTATCCCAGGTCCTTCTGCCTCCCCCCCAACGAGAGAAAGGGAACTGAGGACACCAGATGTCCATCTTCTGATCTGTCAAGACATCTGAATCCCCCTTTAGAGGGGTCCGGATTGGCAGGATCGGCTAGACTTAAGAGTGACCCTTTCTTCTAGCTCTCAGTGACGGCTGCTGCCGCTGACAATTTTAGAAAGTGTTTGCAATGTGTTTGCGCAACACCTACAAGAAAGCTGGCCCATTCTTCCAGACGGAACACCAAGTTCTGCTGGCTTCAGAGCGGAGGCGTTTTAACCCTATAATCAACTTAACAGACAGCTGCTCTAAAATTATCTGCTAATTTCCCCCCAGAAGAATTGCGCTTCCCCTAAGAGGGGGGTTTACTTTATCACAGCACAGCCGCTGCCCGCTCTCCCCCCCCCTTCCCTGGCTCCCCGGCAGTGACCGCGTTGCCGGGAGTGGAGAAATCTCAAATGCCAATAAATCACTCAGCGTAAACAGCTCAGCTCTGTCACTGTGGCAGAAGCAATTGAGACAGGAGCGGTACAAGCCCAGCTCCTTCTCGCCCCTGTGTTTACATCAGTTATGACAAAGGAGAAGCCGGAGGGACTGAATGTTAGGGCTATGTGTAAACACGAGCAGACTAAAGGACACAGGTGCCGCAAGTGCCTGCCATTTCTTTTGCAAATCTAATAACTAAATGCTTCACACTACATCGATAACTCGAGAAGTCATTTGCTGAGAGCAGCACGTCCACAGATCTACCCAACATTACTCGAACGAGTACCTAGCACAAGAACACCACCCACTTATCTCCACATACAGTGTGCCCCCTTCCTAAATTTTAGCACATGCAAACATGATGTAGAAGGGAAATCCGTATCTGGAAGCTAGGTCAGCACGAGTGTTCCCTCTAAGCTGAGTTAGTGTGAGCTAGCTCACAGTTTTTTAGCCTCCGGGTCACACATTTTTTGTCTCCGCTCGGGAAGGATGGCTCCGGAGCTAATTTACGTAGCAGCCAAATCACTCGCTCACAACTTTAATGCGGGTAGCTCACAAAGTAGAATTTTTGCTCACAAGACTCCACAGCTTAGAGGGAGCCATTGGTCAGCACTCGCTTGATCGGCACACAAGTGTCAAGTCCCTCAGATTTGCTTCCACATACCATAAAATAAGCACATGTGTTTACTTGAATCAGAGAACGCACAGGGAAGGTCTACGGCATGCACCTGCCGAAGACGGAAGCTGCGGAACGGCAAACAACCCAGAGATTGTGCTGCAGTCATCCATTGCTGAAATTCAATCTGTGCGGGTGTCGCTTTGCTCAACCCACGGAGCTCCTGTTGGAAGGGATAAATCTGGCAGCTCAAGGAGAGGAAGCCAGGAGATAAGTATCTGAGACACCTAACGCACTCTCTCTCTGTCATTACAGTGCCTTGGGTGTAGAAAACCACAGAGACGCCTTCTGTAAAGAGCTGCCACCCAAAGCAAAGTGGAGAAACGTTTCAGAAAGGGAGGAAAACAAAAGCGTTTGCAATGAATGCAGAGCAAGATGAGGAGCACTGCATCAAGGTCAGTTTCAAACGGTAGCCGTGTTCCTCTGCAAGATTCAAGTCCAGTTGCACCTCAGAGACTAACACAAATTTTGGAGTAGAAGCTTTTGACAGTCAGAGCTTCGTACCTGATAAAGGAAGTTTGGACTCTCAAAACCTTATACTCTGAAAATTTGGTTGGCCTCTAAGTTCCTAATTGACTCAAATCTAGCAACCAAGTTACTAATACAAACAGAACAAAAATCCCAGTATTAAATCTGTGCAGAAGACATAGTTGAATAAAGAGTAAATCCTTCAGGAACAATAATAGAGAGCCCAGTGGCAATTTAAAGATAAATATGTTGTAGCACAATCTTAGGCTGGACACTGGGACTAGGATGTAAAGCCTCTGCTCTGAACACAGAAAGTGCCAGTTCTAACAATCCCCAGCGTCTCCAGTGAAAAGACTGGATTGCATGCGATATGCAAGGCCTTTGCCTGAGACCAGTGTTCCCTCTAAACTGAGTTAGTGTGAGCTAGCTCAGAGTTTTTTAGCCTCCGGCTCAAAAGTTTTTGTCTTAGCTCAGGAAGGACGGCTCCAGAGCAAATTAATTTATGCAGCAGCCAAATCGCTCACTCACAACTTTAATGCCAGTAGCTCACAATGTAGAATTTTTGCTCACAAGACCCCACAGCTTAGAGGGAGCATTGCCTGAGACCCTGGAGAGCCGCTGCCAGCGGGGCAGACGATACTACGCTTGAGAGACCGAGGGCCTGACTCTGTATAGGACAGCTTCGTGTTCATGAAGTCATCACCTTTTTGTTGGCCCAAACCCACTCTGAAGCTGCATGGATCGCTTACCTGGCAAAAGCACTGGTTCCAACTTCTTCAGCCTGGGTTCTGGGGTTATCTTCTCTTCTGCCTGAAAAGAGGTGGCAATAAGATAGATGTTTTTATTTATCGAAACCATCTGCATAGCTTTTGAAGGGCCCTAGCCTGAAACAAACAATTAATCTGTCCAGCAAAGCCAAGGCGCTGATCCTCCAAGAGAGCTGCGTATATTCTCTGTCCCTTATTGTGTACAACCAAGTTGTACACAAAAATCCCACTATTAAATCTGCGCAGAAGACATAGTTGAATAAAGAGTAAATCCTTCAGGAACAATAATAGAGAGTCTGGTGGCAATTTAAAGATAAGTTAATATGTTGCAGCACAATCTTAGTCTGGACACTAGGACTAGGACGTAAAGCCTCTGCTCTGAACACAGAAAGTGCCAGTTCTAACAATCCCCAGTGTCTCCAGTGAAAAGACTGGATTGCATGCGATATGCAAGACCTTTGCCTGAGACCAGTGTTCCCTCTATGCTGAGTTAGTGTGAGCTAGCTCACAGTTTTTTAGCCTCCGGCTCACACATTTTTGTCTTAGCTCAGGAAGGATGGCTCCAGAGCAAATTAATGTACACAGTAGCCAAATCGCTCACTCACAACTTTAATGCAAGTAGCTCACAATGTAGAATTTTTGCTCACAAGACCCCACAGCTTAGAGGGAGCATTGCCTGCGACCCTGGAAAGCCGCTGCCAGCGGGGCAGACGATACTAAGCTCGAGAGACTGAGGGCCTGACTCTGTATAAGACAGCTTCGTGTTCATGAAGTGATCACCTTTTCGTTGGCCCAAACCCACTCTGAAGCTGCATGGATCGCTTACCTGGCAAAAGCACTGGTTCCAACTTCTTCAGCCTGGGTTCTGGGGTTATCTTCTCTTCTGCCTGAAAAGAGGTGGCAATAAGAGAGAGGTTTTTATTTATCGAAAACATCTGCATAGCTTTTGAAGAGCCCTAGCCTGAAACAAACAATTAATCTGTACAGCAAAGCCAAGGCGCTGATCCTCCAAGAGAGCTGCATATATTCTCTATGTTTTATCTTAGCTTCCCACATTACACGATGACAAATCCGTTTCCCACCACAGGAACACACAGCTCAGAGCCACAGTCAGTCCCAGATCCCGAGTATGCCCGTCCCTATCTTTGGTGGAGCTGAACACACACACACACACACGTAATTGTTGTGTACACATTATATTTTTAGGTGTATACCTAAAAACAAATTGTGAAACTGCCTGATTCAGACAGCTGAGGCATAGTTTTCACAATCTGTGGAAGACACAAGACAAGGTCAGTTGCCTGAACTTTGTGCTCTCGGCAAAGCCGCTTAAAAGCCATCATTTTGCAGTTGTTTCAGCTTACTGACTGCTAATACAGCTGGTCATCTTGTGAGTGTGTTGCTTGGGGAAGGACACTGACCCCTACAACAACTTTGGAAAGCCCTTCCTCGGGAAGTCCGCCAGTCCTTCCAACTATTCAGTGTTACATCAAGAACTTTTCATTTTCCCCTTCATTGTACAGGGGTGTGAACCCTCTTGCTGTTCTTATGTACATTCTAATTGTTTTAAATGGTTTCTTTCACATTGACTCCCAGAAATGCAATGGACATGATACTTCATTTGCAACCCACTTTCCTCCCCAACGTGGCCTACAACATTCTCCATTTTATCCTCAGAACAACCCTGTGAGGTAGCTTAGGCTGAGAGTGTGTGTGGCCGGGCCCAAAGTCACCCTGCCAGTTTCCATGGTGGAGTGAAGATTCGAACCTGGATCTTCCAGATCCTAGTGCCCAGCACTCTAACCTACTGGACCGCGCTGGTTCTCTAAACAACAACAACAAACCTTTGCAGTGCTTAACTCCGATAACTTAATTTTTAAAAATCCTAAATCAAGGAAAGAGTTTTCCTCCAGGACAGATTGGCCAAGGGACCCTGGAGAACATAAGAGAAGCCAACCTTGGATCAGGCCGATGGTCCATCCAGTCCAACACTCTGTCACACAGTGGCCAAAAATACCAGGGGCCATCAGGAGGTCCAGAAATGGGGCTAGGACGCTAGAAGCCCTCCCCCTGTTTCCCCCCCCCCCCCGCTAAAGCACCAAGAATACAGAGCATCACTCGCCCCAGATGTAAGAACATAAGAGAAGTCAATGTTGGATCGGGCCAATGGCCCATCCAGTCCAACACTCTGCCGCATGGTGGCCAAGAATACCTGGTGCCATCAGGAGGTCCAGCAGTGGAGGCTTTTTGTCTTCCTCCAGGCATAGGGCAGAGATCACTGGGGGAGTGGGGGGGGGTCGCTGTGGATTTCCTGCATTGTACAGAGGGTTGGATTGGATGACCCTTGGGACCTCTTCCAGCTCTATGTTTCTAAGGTGGTTGTTTTTGTCATCGCATGACAAAACACACACATACACACCCACACACCCCCAAAACAACTGATGTTAACTGGCAATAACTCTTGGTCCAGGGATGGGCAGTTGGCAGTACAACCAACTCTCTTCAGGGTCTCCTGAGGAAGAGATTCATTGCCACGTTAACTTCCTGCTCTGTCGCTGCAGCTCAGTATTAAACTTGGTATAATTCACACAAGTATTTCATGAGCGAAGCGAGGTACAGCCAGGCGGGAGTCACTGACAATTTGTACGTAGCAGGGAAGGCGGCCAACCCCACAAAAACACTGATAGCTCCTGATTGGCCTAAGCCTGGGAACCACTGCTTGAAACGACCCGGAAAAAAAGCCCTAGTAAGCAAGTTTTGACAAGCACCATGTGTCAGCTTTTCCTTTTCTGGTTGTATTCGGGCATACTAGAATGTCACCGTTCCCACCCTTTTTAAAAGTAGCAGTCCCTGCCCAACATTTTCAGACTTAAAATTACTCATGCAGTAAGGCTCACAAACGAACGCTTTGTCACAGTGAAGAACAAATACGTTCTCTTCCACGCCTTTGAATTTTTAGTAACAAATTTTTTTTGGTCTGCTTTAAAAACACGGCTTTAAGCTGAGCAGCTACAACGGCAGATCGGCTCTATTAAAAAGATGGTCATTTGCTTTTGTTACGAGGACCCTGTATTTGGATACTGTCAACCACTGGTTCTATCATATTAACTGCACCAAAAAAATTAAAACATCTATCATCCTGTACTGCGAAGCAGAGAAGAAAGTTGAGGAATTTATATTTTATAAAAAGCAGAGGGAGAGAATTGTGTTCTGATAGTTTGAAGAGATCCTCTTGCAGCTAACAGGCCCTTTCATTTTAATGTGATACACCTTGGGCAGTGCAATAATTCAAAACAAATTAAATTATTTAAGCAATTAAAAATACGCTGTCTAGCTTATCACCAATGCTCCCTCTACGCCGTGGAGTCTCGTGAGCAAAAATTCGACTTTGTGAGCTACCGACATTAAAGTTGTGAGCGAGCGATTTGGCTGCTGCATAAATTGGTTTGCTCTGGAACCCTCCTTCCTGAGCTAAGACAGAAATGTGTGAGCCAGAGGCTAAAAACCTGTGAGCTAGCTCACACTGACTCACCTTAGAGGGAACACTGCTTATTACCATCGTTCAGGCATACAGACAGTCTTTTTAGCAAATGTATGAAGTTAAGAAATGCACGCCTGCCATCCTGTACTATTTTTTTTTTTAAGTACAGTTTGGATGTAGCCTGGGGAACCGCTGAACTAAGTGACACCTATTTTACATCTAAATGTGATCCCTGAAAAGGGCTTTTCAGATTAAGGGACTCTCCCCCCTTTAAAAACCTGCAATACGCCAGTGACAGCTGTGGACACCCAAAGCCCACCCACACACCCTCTTCCTCATTTCCCCGCTAAATGTTTGCATGGTGATCCTATGCACACTTCCTCAGAAATCACTCTGCGCTCAACACACAATAAGCACACACAGAGGTTTGCAGCCAGATCCTATCTATGCAGGAAGAAGAATATGTTTATGTAGAGTGCTAGTTAACCGCCTTTCAACCAAGAAGCCAGGTCTGCATAGGCGTCTTCCAATATATGATAATGACGACCATCGTACAAATATTAAGAGTTCTAAAACACCCAGGGATGCTTTCCCCAGCAGCACCGTAAAAGCGTTTATCCCAACATAAGAACATAGGAAGATAGAGCAGACCAGTGGTCCATCCATTCCACCATCCCATCTCACGCAGTGGCCAGGCAGTTCCTCTGGAGGGCCAACAACAGGGCATGGAGGCCGAGGCCTTCATAAGAACATGAGAAGAACCCTGCTGCATCAGACCAGTGAGGGTCCATCTAGTCCAGCCTCCTGACTCACACAGTGGCCAGGCAGTTCCTCTGGAGGGCCAACAACAGGGCAGAGAGGCCAAGACCTTCCCCTGAGGTTGCCTCATGGTTCTGGGATTCAGAGGCTTAGTATGCCTCCTTACCGAGGAGTGAATTATTGAGGTCTGGGAACCTCAGTATGCCCCTTTACCTGGGAGTGAATGATTGAGGTCTGAGACTCTCAGCATGCCCCTTATTTAGGAATGAAGTATTTCAGTCTGGAATCCTCAGTATGCCCCTTTACCGAGGAGTGAACTATTTGGGTCCGGCTCACACATTTTTGCCTTCGCTCAGGAAGGATGGCTCCAGAGCAAACTGATTTATGCAGTAGCCAAGTCGCTGGCTCACAACTTTAATGCCAGTAAGCTCACAAAGCAGAATTTTTGCTCATGAGACTCCACAGGTTAGAGGGAGCACTGCCTGGGAGTGAATTATTTGGGTCTGGCATCCTCAGCATGCCCCTTTACCTGGGTGTGAATTATTGAGGTCTGGGACTCTCAGCATGACCCCTTACCCGGGAGTACATTATTGAGGTCCGGGACCCTCAGCATGCCCCTTTACCTGGGTGTGAATTATTGAGGTCTGGGACTCTCAGCATGACCCCTTACCCGGGAGTACATTATTGAGGTCCGGGACCCTCAGCATGCCCCTTTACTTGGGAGTGAATTACTTGGGTCCAGGTCTCTCAGCATGCCCCTTTACCTGGAAATGAAGTATTTGAGTCTGGCATCCTCAGCATCTCCTGCCAACCTAGCAGTTCGAAAGCAAGAAATGGCAAGTAGATAAATAGGTACCGCTTCGGTGGGAAGGTAACAGCATTCCGTGCGCCTTGGCGTTTAGTCATGCCGGCCACATGACCACGGAAACGTCTTCGGACAGCGCTGGCTCTTCGGCTTTGAAACGGAGATGAGCACCGCAACCCTAGAGTCGGATTCGACTGGCTTTCGAGCAAGGGAACCTTCACCTTTACCTATCCTCAGCATACTCCTTTACCCCGGCATGAATTATTGAGCTCCGGGACTCTCAGCATGACCCCTTACCCAGGAGTACATTATTAAGGTCTGGGACCCTCAGCATGCCCCTTTACCCGGGAGTGAATTATTTGGGTCCAGGACTCTCTGCATGCCCGTTTACCTGGGAGTGAAGTATTTGAGTCTGGCATCCTCAGCACGCCCCTTTACCCGGGAGTGGAATATTTCGGGGGAG